ACGAAAGGAGGTGACAAGTGCGTCAGGGAAGCCTCTGTTATAATAAGAGATGTGAAACTGGCTTTTATGAACGTAACATAACCAAATGCATTTTTGGTTTTACGTTTTCTTTTATTGGTTTTTTGGGGGCTTAGCACGTGTTTTTTTCCGGTTGTGTGCCATCGGCTATGGGAGTGTTTTTAAGGACAACATTCTTTTTTGGGGACCTTCGACGCAAAAATATTTAACTGGCTGCCCGTCTGTACATTTGTCTGTGTGTCCGATACCCAAAACAATACCCAAAACGACACCAAACGCTACCTCGAACAGCCAACCCCATCCGCAGCGTCAATGTTTCTCAAGCTTCAGCGCTCATAGTTGTGCGATTGGTAATGAAACCACAATTACTGCGAATATCGAAGACACCATAACAAAACGTTAATAATTTGTATGTGTGTTTTTATACTAGGGAAGGCATACAAAATTAATTATAAGGACCGTAGTGCTATCACGCTGCGTTGACATTGCAACACGACGCCCAGAAAAGGCAAGTGTTTCCAACGCTTTGCTACCTGCCTACCGCTTTGCATTCTACACCTTATCGCTCCCGAGACAGGCGCGCGCGCCTTCCTTTGTTTTCGAAGATAACTGCCAGATAGCGCTTGTGTCTAATATGCCTCGATGCGCTCATTCGCCTTCGCGGCGTGGAATGAGACTCTGTAACGCAGCGCCTCCCCAACACGATTAATCGATTTTCTCGTGCAGAAGATCAAATAAACGTTTTGTTCACTCTCTTCACACGCAACACAATTGTCTTTGGACGACATTTGCAGTGATACATGCAGATACGGGGCCATTTTTTTTCAGGATTACTGCGTCGTCCTGACGGATGTGGTGATCAAACTGCTCGCAGTGTCCTGCTACTGCGCTTCGTTGGCTGTTCGATTGACGAAGTTCATTCTTGTCTTGTCGAGTCATTTCACGGACCTTCTTTGTTTCCCCAATATAGCAAGCGAAGGAGTAGGCCCACTGAATTTGGTATACGACGCTTTGAGATTTCTCCGCGGGCGCGTCATCTTTTGAGCGAGCAATGAAGCTGTCAAGAGTGTTGGATGGTTTGAATGTGATGTTAGCCTCTGCCCTTTCCAGTATGCGGGCAATTGTTTCGCTGGCGCCACGGCGACGTATTGTAACTACCCGCATTTTCGTTGAGGCGATGCAGGTGCCACGTTTTTACTCTTGTGGAAAGCTGTGTGACTAAAAGCTTTTGTGTAGCCGTTGGCACCGAGGTCACTGATTATTTTGTCCTTTTCCTCCTTAAGTCGTTTCGGTGACGAGCAATTTCCTTCGGCCCTCCGAAAAGGCTTCACATCACAGAAAGCTTGTGGTATGTGGGCTCTTCAAGCTGAATTGACGGTGACATGCTTTGTGGGTGGATTCCATGAACACCAAAAAGTACAGGCTCTCTTGTTGCTTTCTCACTCGTACCTCTAGAAAAAAGAGACCTAAATTGTGCTCTCTTTTCTCTGTGAACTGCATGCCATGCTTAGCAGAGTTCAGGCATGCGAGCAAGTTGTCGACCTTGCCAGACTTCACCACTCTGAAGCAATCGTCCACGAAGTACACAGACATCTTGGGTTTGAGGTCAAATATAGAAAGCGCCCGCTTCTCAATGTCCTTCATTACAAGTGCTGCTACTGTAGCTGATATCGCCACCCCCGTAGTGGTTCCACTGGAACGCTTGAAAAAGGCGTTTTTGAAAGAAAAATAGGTTATGGAGAGGCAGAGTTCCAACAGCCTGCCTATCTCATCAACAAAAAGCGGTCTTCTATCAACGTGGAGTCACCATCGAGTGCCCGGTGCGTCACAGAATGTGCGAATGGAACGGGCACCCTGGTGAAAATGAAAATCACATAGGACTCCACGCAGTCATTTTCAAGTAGACTTATGTTGGATTCAATTTCTACAAAATGTCCCGAGTGCCGAAAGACAGAAACCTGCTCACAGCACTCGGGGCATTTCGTGGAAATGACGTATAACGCGAACATTGATGAAAACGACTGCATGGTGTTCATCGGTGGGATTTACATTTTAACCAGGGTGCCCGTTCTCCTCGCACTTTTTATGATGCATCGGGTGCTCGATGGTGACTCTACCTTCATTGACAGAAAACCGCTTTCGATTGATGAGATTGGCCAGCTGTTAGAATTCTACTTCTCCAGCACTGTTGCACTTTTAACAACGCCCTTTTCAAGCGCTCCAGTGGAACCGCCACAGCAGCAGCGATATCAGCCACAGTGGCAGTACTTGTAATGGAGGACATTGAGAAGTGGGCGCTTTCCGTGTTTGAGCCCAAACCCAAGGTGTTTGTGTGCATTGCGGATGATTGCTTCTATGTGGTGAAGCTTGGTGAGGTCGACAACTTGCTCGCATGCCTGAACTCTGTTGAGCATGACACAAAGTGAAAAGAGAGAACCATTCGGCTTTCTCCTTTCTATGTAAACTAATGAGAAGGCACGAACAGAGTATTCCTTTTCGGTGTTCAGGAAACCCACGCACGCAGGATGCTGCATTCGAATCAGCCCAAACTACCCCCCATGCCACAAGCTTTCTGTTATGTGAAGCCTTTTTCGAAGGACCGAAGGAAGTTGCTCGTCACCACAATGATGGAAGGGTAAAAAGGACAGAATAATCAGTGACCTCGGCGCCAATGGCTACACGAAAGCGTTTGTTCGCAGATCTCCACGCAAGAGTAAAAACGCGGCACATGTGTCACCGCAACAACAATGTGCGTCAATGCAATACGTCACAGGCGCGAGTGAAACAATAGCCCACATACCGAAAAGGGCAGGGGTCAACATCGCATACAGGCCATCAACCATTATTTGCAGCTTCCTTCCTCGCCCCAAAGACACGCGCCTGCGGAGAAATCTCAAGACATCGTATACTGGATTTCCTGCACCCACTGCCCCATTTCCTCTATATTGTAGAAACAAAGAACTTCCTTGAAAGGACGCAACTGTACAAAAAGGAACTCCGTAAACTCAACAGCAAACGGACCCCCACATCTACCCGGACGACGCAGTGATTCTACAAAAAGAAAGGACTCCTCCTCGAATCCTGGCACGTTCAGCTGAAAGCGCGAAACATAAGCCGCGTATTGCGATCCTTCTACTGCCAGGACTTCCGACGGGTCGCGGCGAGCCTCTAACGCTAGTCAAGCAACCGTATATAAGCACCGCACCTCTCTGGCTTTCTCACCCCTGAAGAAGAAGCGGGTCTCGCTTCGAAACTTCGAGTTTCTGAATACAATTTTTGGTTGGAGTATTCTCATTGTCTCATTCTTATTCCAACGAGAAAAACTTCTGCCAAATGTTTCCCTGAGTTTCTTTATGCTTGCCTATGATGTATTCTATGTTTTTATTGGTGCAAGTATTAGGCCACGTGGCTATTTTTAAACGTATCTATTGTGGTTTTGTCAAGCACATGTCTCTGTTTTGCGCAAATACAATCAACACTACAATTCTTGTTTATATGTTTGTTTATGATTAACAATCACTTATTGTTATTGCGATATCCTTAACCCCCGTTTGTTCCCTAATCCACTCTGCTTTCTTCTTGTCTCTTAAGGTTGCACCTACCATTTCTCTTTCCATTGCTCACTGCGTCATCCTCAATTTAAGCTGAACCCTCTTTATAAGTCTCCCGGTTACTTCTCCGTAGCTAAGTACCGGCAAGATATAGCTGTTATATACCTTCCTCTTGAGGGATAGTGGAAATCTACCTGTCATAATTTTAGAGTGCTTGCCAAATGTGCTCTACTCCATTCTTATTCTTCTAGTTACTTCAATCTCATGGTTCGGCTCCGCGAATATTACCTGCCCTAAGTAGGCATAGTCTTTTACAACTTGAAGTGAACTATTAGCTATCTCGAAGCGCTGCTCTTTTCCGAGGTTGTTGTAAATTACTTTCATTTTTTGCAGATTCATTTTAAGACCCACCTTTCTGCTCTCCTTGTCTAACTCCGTAATCATGTGTTGCATTTCGTCCCCTGAGTTACTCAGCCATGCAATGTCATCGGCGAAGCGCAGGTTACTAAGGTACTCTCCAAGAAGGAGAAATGGACATTGGCCGGGCATGTAGCTCGTATACAGAATAACCGTCGGCTGGTCACTAAGGGTAACTAACTGGATTCCCAGAGAAGGCAAGTGGGTTAGAGGGAGATAGACGGTTAGGTGGGCAGATGAGATTAAGATGTTTGCGGGTATAAATTGGCAGGAGCAAGCACAGGACCAGGTTAACTGGCGGGACATGGGAGAGGCCTTTGTCCTGCAGTGGACGTAGTCAGGCTGATGATGATAATGATTGTTACTGTATGCGTTACATTACTTTCTTTATATCCTTTTTATTCCTATTAATTGTAATTCGATAGGTGCTTATCATGGCCTGCGTGGCTCAGTTCATTTGCAGCAAAGCCCTTTGTGAGGCTTCTAAGCCCTTCGTCTTCACTCAATTTTCTGTTAATGTTCAGAAGAAAAAAAATAATGAATATATAAAAATATGCATTACCACCCTGAAACTTAAGGAATATTTTTGTACGCTAGTGTGGCGTATTCACTCGGTTGTCACGCGACTGAGACTGTAATGTTAGAAAAGACTTCCGGCAAGAAAAAAGGAAAGAGAAATTAAACACTTGAGTACATCGTTGCACTTTTAGACAACTCGAAAATAGGGTACGTAATAACAAGTGAGAGTCACCTTAGGTGGCGAAAATCTGGTAAATAACGTGTGTTACGTTCGAGGAAACATGGCAACCCCGAAGAACTGGTCTTCAGAAATGAAATATTTCAGTGCGTCATTGCACTTTAAGACAAATATATAGGGTACATAATAACAAGTGAGAATAAACTTGAGGTAGCGAAAACCAGGATAATGACGCGTGTTACGTTTGAGTAAATATGGTAACCCCGAATGAACTGTATTATGGTGGAAAAACACATCAATGAATAATGTATACGTACCGTTCCCAGGCCACCGTAGTTAAGGGCGTCAACTCCATGCGTATACGTGGCTGGGGGAAGCAGGCATGCTGTCGGTACAATGATATTGTTGCTGGAACTTGTATAATAAGGGACATAAGCAGTCTCGTCGTAGAGCGGGGTTGTTGTGTCGGTCCACATATACTGAGTAGAGAGACTCAGAGCCTTTATCCACGTCGGGAACAGCGCTTCGAGGTCAAGCGGCGCTTCCGGGTAGGGTTCTGGAGAGAGGACGAACAAACTTATAAGCGGTGGACACACTCTTGAGTTTACTCTCTTGCACTCACTCAGAGTCTGATCAAGCTGTGAATATGGGTGAGTCAAGCTGAGTCATAGGATTTTCTGAAATAACTAGAGGGTACTCGGGTGGGTGCGATCGTTCAGCGGCCATGGGAATGATGGGAAGTACACAGATTTGCCTAGTATTCATATTTGCGGGTGGTGGATGGCACTTGTGGCTTTGTTTATTGCTGTATTTCGGTTTGTTTTGAAGGAAACAACAAACCTTTTTGAACTTAACGACCTGATTTCAATAGGTAGGCCAAAAAATTACGAGTGAAACGCAAGCGCTGAAGAATTGCTGTTCAAGTTACATGAAAGAACAGCTCTTAGCCACAAGAACACACATGGAGCCAGGAGTACGATAATTCAACAAATCCGGGTACTACCCATGCTTCCCATGCTCTCTAAGGTACCGTGCGTTGCAGCTTCCATAGACACTAGCGCCACAGTCTTTCTAGTGTATAGTTAGGAAACCCTGTGAGCTGAGTGAGAAGTTGGTAAGTTTGAGTCCCAGTAAGTCCAGGTGAGTAATAAATTGATCAGTGTGAGTCTGAGTGAGTCCAGCTCACGAAATTATAATTAGCCCGAGTCTGAGTTAGTTCAAAGTATACTATGCTTCTAGAGTTGGTCTGAGTGAGTTGCACTTTTGTATGCTGACCTATGCAACAAAAATAGTACCTCTAATGTACAAGAAAACCACACTGGTTCTCAAATGCAAACAATTTTTTTTAAAAACTAGAGCAGTTATAATAGTTCATTCGTAGCGATATAACTGATACACAAGCGATGTGACTGCTAAAGTAGTGATTACTTCGGAGAACGGTTAAAATTTGCAACCTCACAGGGAGGGTTGAATACAAATGCTTTAAAGTCATATCAATCTCATGTTTTCACCAAGCAGAAGCTGTTTGTATTCCCCCGAAATGAGAAGAGTGCAGAAGCTTTCAAAACAACTGCTTCAGCACTCTACAGTAGGGCTATTGACGCAGAATTACTTTTTTTCCCGCATATTTTTCATGTGATCTTGTGTTACGTGTAACCCGGTGGTGTTGCATGGAATGTGTATACATGCTATTCGACTTGTGGCCAGCTGCGGGTCGAAAGATGCTGCAGAGCCCGGCCAAATAAACATTATTTTATTTGTTGTGAATAGTCGCCTTTCTTTAGGACTTTTGTTAAATGCAGGAAATAAAATATTCCCAATTTTTATTGTTACCTCAGAGATGTAATCGAAAGAGGCCTTGAAGTTACGAAAACACTTGTCATGTAAATCTACATTCGTAAGTAGGCCCGTTTATTTCTATGTCACCTGCAGTTTTATTCGCTATATTTTATTTGCATTTAAGTAAAAAGACTCACCATTAATAAAACTGTGCCAGAGAACTATTATGAAGTTCTATGCGACAATTGCGAAATAAACTATGTGCTGCCAAGGGCGACTGATTGTAAACGACAACAGATTTAAACGGGAAGTTACACAAGGGAAGTCCCCTTGTGATCACTTGCGCAGTCATTTAATCACACTGCGAACAGATGTTTCACTACGTTGAATGGTTGCCATTGTAAGAATTGCCGGTGCATTTTACTATGGCGACATGATTAGTGGCCGGCCAGATCAATGCATTTTTTACAACATGCCTGCGATGTGCCTCACAATCCCAATGGGTCAAGGGGTCTCTCAAAGTTCAGGGTTGTCTTCGGAGCAGCACTCACAGCCTACACAACTTCCGGTAGCATCCACGTGATGCCATCCCAACATTGGAGCGGCATCTACGATTAATGCTGCCGCTGGTAGTGCTATACATGTTACCTTGATCTTCGAGGCATATAGATGTGTAGAAGTCAACGCAATGAACACTCGCAGCCGAAACATTTTCCACGGAGCGCAGGACAAGCGGGAGTACCTGCTTTTTGGTTCGCGTCACAGGATTCTTTGTGTAGAAGGTATTGGCAAGTATTATATAACTCTGGATAGTAAAAGAACTAAGGTGGTATTGTGTGCGCTGAACATGAGTCTGAACTAAACCCATAATTTTCTTCGATCTTTGTGCTTCTTCAAACTGCAAGCTCGGTAAGTGTTAAACAATCTTCGCGATAAGGGAGCCGTGAAGCAGCCCTTCATGCATATATAATTGCAGTCAAAGTTAAGACTGGGTGAACCAATTGCTATGAACTGTACTGCATAGTGTAAATACTGTAGATGAAGTACACCCTTTTCTTCCACCATTGATTGAAGTACAAACAAACCTGCTGCGCAAAAGTTGCGGGAACAGAACTGAAGTTATACATGCCTCAGAATCGAAAGTTGGGGTAGTTTGACTGACAATTGCACTTGAACTGAATATTACACATGCCTACCATAGACTGTGCAGATCCCAGACTTTGAGAAATTTAAGGTGGTAAGTGACTAGTTCTTGTCAAACCACACAGGGAATTCACAGCTGGCATTACAATAAAAACCTGCATGATTTTAACCCTGTTTGTTGAAAATGGACGATGAAGGTAAGACAGAGCAATGATACAGGGCCAACATCCTATCCCGTTCGATACACAGCAGGGCTTCTCCATGTACATGCCTTTAATTATGTAGTGTATTAGAGCCGTGCATACTTAAAAATACTGACTGTAAAACGCCTCGACGAACTCAGGATCTAAGTGCTTGCCGGGACTTCCCACGTAGGACACCATGTCTCTGACTTTCTTTATAGCAGCTTGTCGAAAGTCGGTGCTGAGCCAGCTTGAGTGCTGCAGGGCCCTCACGTAGGCATCGCGGATTTCGGTCACCATGTTCGTCGCTCTTCTTACCCTGTACAGTTCAATCTCTGTTCAGAAAAGCACCATGAAAAACGAGTCGCATAAGACGAACTGTCCAGAATATTTGTGGGACAGTACTACAAGACGCATAGATGCAGAGATGGCATTGTGTTTTAGCGTATCAGCTTCGCGTGAAAGAGGTCCGTGAATATATGCCGATGCGGCGCAATTTTCCAACCAGATTTTGAAAAAAACATTATCCGCTTGGGGATGAATTGCATTAGGGAGTCCTGGGGTGCGGCCTCACTAGTGACCACCACCTGTACGCACTGCCTCACCAGGGAAGAATTGGCCACACTGGTCAATGTCTGGCCACCCCCTCTGACATACATACGTCAATTATCCACAGCCCTCAGTCCCCATCAGCTGCGGAAGCAGCTAATTACGTCAGGGGTCATGTCTGCAACGTGGCCGAGGGTGCGAAGAATCTCTGGTCCGGGCAGGCCGCCATTGGAACCTGAAATTGGCAACCTGTAATGCTAGAACCTTATCCAGTGATGCAAGTCTAGTTGCACTGCTCGATGAGCTAGAGGGTGTTAAATGAGATGCGATAGGACTCAGTGATGTTTAAAGGGATAGATGAGGCTTATCAAGTGCTAAGGAATGCGCATGTCGTTTGCTATCGTGGCTGGCCGACAAAGAGAACTTAGCACGGGGCCCATATCCACATGAATATAGCTGGAAACATAGAGGAATACTATAGCAATAGTGAAATGGTGGTAAGTATTGTATTTAAACTCATTAAGAGATAAAACTTGAAGGTGGTACAGGCTGACGCACCTACGTCCAGCCATGGTGAACACTTTAGTTGAAAGCTTTTATGTAGACGTAGAATCGGTCATGAGTAGAGTAAAAACACAGTAAACTATACTGATGGATGGCTTCAGTACCAAGCTAGGGAAGAAGCAAGCTAGCGACCAGGCAGTGGAATGTTATGGCATCGGTACTAGAAATGCCACAGGAAAACTATTAGTAGAATTCGAAGTACGCAAGATCTTACGGATCTTGATACCTTCTACCAAAACGAGGGAACCGTAAGTGGACATGGAGGAGCCGTAATGGTGAAAGTAAGAGTGAAATACACCCTATAGTCAGTGCGCACTCTGGCATAGTGCAGGGTGTAGAAGACTTGGCAAGGTATGCTGCAGTGGCCATAGAATGGTAAAGTCTTGATTCAGCCTAGACTTGAAGAAGGGTCAATATATACCAATATACAAGAAGCCAATGAATGAGCTAGCACTTAAAGGGAATAACAGGAATTCAGGGTGTCGCTTCAAAACAGATACTCTGCTTTTATTGGGGAAACCAGCCTTAACGTTGACGCAATGAACCTGACGAGTATCATTATGGAGTGCGCAGTAGAAGTTGGAGGTACGGTAGTTCAACAAGACACTGGCAAGCTTACTCTAGAAATGAAGAACCTTATGAATAAATGTCTCCGCACGAAAGCCTCAACTACAACAAAAATAATAGAACTGGTAGCTTTCGAAGTTAATCAATAAGCACAACAGTATCCGTTGTAAGAATTTATAACATGAAGAAAATTTAACACGATTCAAAGAATTGAGGAAGCATCACAGCGATAAACAGTAAACTTGGAATGGGTAAAAACTAGGTGTATTTCACTAAGGGACAAGGAAGGCAAAGTAACAACCGATATAGATAGGATAGTTATAATAGTGGAGGAGTTTTACAGAGTTCTGCGCAGTAACCGGACAACCATGACCTTATTGTAAGAACTAGCAGTACCCCCAGATGGACACCCCAAAAGTATAGACCGAAGAGAGTCAGAAAAGCCTTGCAAAGAATGAAAAGAGGCAAAGCTGCTGGTATTGGAGAGGTTGATCACACTCATACTATCAATCAGGTAATAGAGAAATGCTCAGAATACAACCAACCACTACACATAGCCTTCATAGATTAACACTGTAATTGATTCTATGGAAATATCAGCAGTCATGCTGACACTGATAAAACAGGGCGTCCACAAATTATGTTTGAACATCAACTGTCACTATAGTGCTCCCTAAAGAGACGGACAGAATACCAATGAAGAATGGTGTAAGACAAAGGGATGCAATCTCCCCAATGCTATTTACCGCGTGCTTACAATAGGCTTTCAGATGCCTAAAATAGGAGGAGATAGGGGTAAGAATAATGAGGAGTACCATAGTAACCAGTGCTTCGTTGATGAAATTGCATTGCTGAGTAACTAAAGTAACGAATTGCAACCCATGATTACCGAATAGACAGGGAGAGCGGAAAGGTACATCTTAAAATTATACTGCAGGAAACAGTAGTATTGTACAACCATCTCTGAAGAGAATAGTGCTTCGAGATAGGTTAGAGTGCACTTGAAGTTGTAAAAGACTACGTGTACTTAGGAAAGGTAATAGTCGTGGAGCCGAACCATGAAATTGAAGTAACTAGTAGAATAAGAATGGGGTGTAGTGCATTATGCAAGCACTTTTAAATCAAGCCTAGTAGATTGCCACTATTCTTGAAGAGGAAGGTATATAACTGCTGTATCTTGCCAGTACTTACCTGCGGAGCTGAATCGTGGATGCTTACTAGGAGGGTTCTGCTTAAATTGAGGACGACGCAGCAAGTGTTGGAAAGGAATGCGATAGGTGTAACCTTAAGAGACAAGGAGGGAGCAGAGTTCATCCGGGAACAAACGAGGGTGTAGTATGTGACAGTTGAAGACAAGAAGTATATTCTAGCAGTATCTGGTTGGTATAAAAAGCGGAGCGTTGCTGTAAATCTTGTCAGTCGAGAGTAGCCCTTTGTCTTGTATTCATTTTGTGGTGTCGTTTCGAGCTAAAAAGCATTATGGACTATAATAGGTCAAAACATACGAGGCTGATATTTCAAGTCACACTAGTGTATTTTGATGACCGTAATTCACGCACCTATAAAAACAACCTTCTCCTCCCTCCGCAACAAAAAAATCTCTCACACAGATAACAAAAAACATAGAGCTTTCAGAAGTGTGGGAACATGATCGAACAGCAGTGGATCACTTTTGTCCCAAGCCGAAGAAAGCAAAAAAAACGAATGTTTCGTAAAGTTCTGCATTACGACATTTTTGGCAATGATGGATTACCACACGCTTCTTAGTCTGTTATCACCAGAACTAGCGTAGTAGCAATAACCACACACACGACCATACTGAGATGCCAGCTGACGTATCTTGCACATAAATAGTCATTATAGAATGACAGGTGAAGGTCAATTGGCTAACCTGCCCACTGAAACGAATGAGCGCAGCATGCTGGCGGCCTGCGCGAGCAGTTGCCCTTCATTATTCTTCAAAGCTGTGGTTGCGGAGGCAGAACTAGCGCTCAAGCCAACACAAAAGAGCGTTGATTGGGCCGCCATCAATTCTTTCACGGTGGTGACTTTAGGCTCGTGCATAACTGCAGTGCCACAACTAAATTTCATAGCTTGTCAGGGGGTATGCATTTTTCACTTCAACGTCGTGTGGCGATACACTGCGAAGCTCGGCCGACCATGCCAGTAAAGCTTTGGCTTTAAGCTTTCTGGGTGGCCTCACCTAAATACTTATTGCAACAGCTTCACTCGCGAAACACTCCCACAGTCAGACATGCCCCTCCATGTACAGCACTTCCTTATTTGGAATGATTTATTATATTAATTTATTCGGAAAGTGGCTGGCTTCGCAAAGTGCCCATATGCTACATAAGGTGCCGGTGCTTGGACAAAAGGGACGAGGGATTGTTCACCAAGACATGATCTCGTAGATAAAAACTGATGAATCTGTATGTGGATTTAGACTGATACCTTACTAAGAAGTCTAATAGATTCTAGACAGAAGGTATTACCGTTTCAAACAATTTAATTGCAGAATCGCGAAACCACGGAACAATACGAGAACATTTTCTAGTTTTCATTTTTAAGTAAGAACATTTACTTCAATTGGCAGATGAATAATTTAAAATGCATCTCTTTTGCATACTTTGAAGTAAGCCCCGAACTCACCAGATTCCACAGAAGCGAGGGACATATAACAAAAATTGTGCATAAGAACTGCTTAAGATATTGTGTTCCACTTCATGGGTGCGCACACATCAAATAAACAAAATTATTTACGATTGAAACTATGTCACACAGGTGAAAATGCACCAAGGACTGAGAGGTGTTTGCACCGGCATCACACTTTCCAAAGACAGCTACAATTGTTTCTAGCATAGAATATCTCACACGAGATGGTGCAACACTTCTGATGCTGAAAGCTATGTTCCTCGTCAATAATTGACAGCTGACAGTGAAGGTGGCAAGCATTCCGGTACTTGCTTGCTCGGAGTTTTCAACGCGATAGCGTTAGAGGGCTCGTGTTGCAGATATTCCGCCGTTGACGTCAGCACCGTGTTCTGTGAGCGAAAAATCGCCCGTGAGCGAGAAATTGAAAAAAAGCTAATAAATGAAGAATGAAATTTTAGGTCCCGTTGAGGATCAAGCCCGGCCGTTCGCGTGGCAAGCAAATGTTCTACCAGAGCCAGAATTTTGCTTGCAGTGGCTTCGGCAAAAAAAAAAGAAACACTACATAGATGCCATGTAATGGAAAAAGTCTTTTAACGCATTTTGTTCGACAGGTGCCACGACAGAGAAGAGCCTAATCGGCGATTTGTAGGCGCATTTGGGAGGTAAACAAACTACGTCAAAAAAGGCCGTGATAGGGCAGTCATCGCTGCTAAAAACACACAGCAACTTTCAAACAGCCCTGAAATTGGCCAAATGTGTTCATCTAGCGAAAACATATCATGCCTTTCCAGAGCTGTTGATCAAGCAAACAGCAAACACTCAATAATGTGCTGCAATTTGTGAGGCATTGTGAGGCTTTTTATGGTCTCCGAGATGGCGAGCGCGTGGCGTGTATGTTGGAGGCCATGCGACTCTTGCTTTAGATCAAAAACCTGTATCCCATTCGCGCGCACGCATGTGTGTGAGTG